AAATAAATAAATAAATAAATAAATAAATAAATAAATAAATAAAGAAAGAAAGAAAGAAAGAAAGAAAGAACAAACAAACAGTGGCAGTTGACGTACATTTACTTAAAAAATAATAATATAAAAAGCAAGATACCTCATGATACTTCTTCACGAGTTTTCCTGCCGTACAAGCGCATTTCCCATTTGTCGTTCCACAACCACAGTTTCCTCCACAGCGCTGGACCAGGAGGCAGCGAGGGAAAAAGACGGCATTGCTTTGCTTCAGCTCCTCCCTAACATTGACAGAGTAATTCCTTGGAGTGCAGCTGTAACGCTTTGCCTCATCATTCAGCCTGTCTAAATCAACTGAAACAGGCAAAAGGGAACGAGGAGGGAGAAAGAGAGAACAGACTTGTGAATAAAACACCTGTCCCCCCATAGAAGTCAATGAACCAATTAATCTCTGGCCTAAATTAATTTTTATTAAGATTCAGTCCCCGCTGCCTTCTGATGTCTGTGCAGATCTTGGAACGGAGATTTTGTCTGATGAAAGTCTAAGCAAATATATTTTTAAACATATATTTTAAAAAACAAAGAAAATACATAGAAATTACAAAAAATAGCAATAACACTGGCAATAATATTTAGACTTATATACCAACCCCCATAACACTTTACAGAAATCTCTGGGTGGTAAGTATTATTTGTATATTGCCTCTAAAAATATGGGTACCATGTATAGAATTATGTATACTTCATAAGTAACTTCTAGATGAATTTGAAGCTAACATCAAACTTCATTTTCATATAATTTTAGACATAGTTTCACACTTCCATAGTTTAAGCTGCCATTCTTTTAACAAAGAAGTTAAATGTGATTTCCACTGAAAAGCCTAAAATATCTTGGTGACAGTTATCCTTTATAAACACTATGTATGTTATAAGTATATAAGCTTTAATAATAAACAGATAAAAAGGAAGTCAATATTTACAATTTGTTTAATTTTATCATCTTCCAGAGTAGTTGCACTGTATTACTTTGTTATCACTTAGAATAAAATGGTGCAACTTGATTTTTACATTTTGAACAATCTCCCGAATACAAGGAAAAACATCTTATACTATTTTTCTCTAAATGTATTATTTGCAGTAAAATTAATCTTGTTTTCTATTGATACTCAGATTGTGAGATATCAATTGTTTTGTTTTGAGTTCTGAATCCATTTGATCATGCAAACTTTAACCTGTTCAGACTTCAAATCATATTTCAATAGTAACTTATGTGCAAAGTGTTCTGTATTTTGTGTTACAAGTATTTCAAATTTAACCAAATATCTGAACTTAAACCCTGCTTTTAAATTCTATCTGAACTGTACTTCTCATTTGCTGATAATGAAACCACAAAACAACTTTTGATCATCCTAAAGAGGGTATCTTGAGTGACTTTGTGTTTGCTTTCTAAATAACTAAATCTTGCAAATTATAATAGTTTTGTCAAATTCTTTACCATATTCATGAAATATATATTTAATACTGAAGCCAGAGGAGATGAATCTGGACTTCATTTTTTGGTTAATATGGTTTATAAAGAGAAATGTGTGGTAAAAATATAAAAGTGATTCTGAATTACATATTCAAAATTTGGAATTTATCATTAGATGAAGAACCATAGATTTACCATAGATGGTATATAGGAAAAAGATTCTTAGACACAGAAAACAATACCTTATACTTACAACTTTGGACTGATAACATGAGTTTAAGATTTATCTTTCTATTCATATAACAGAAAGACTGATAACTTTGTTCTTGTTCTTTTCTGCTTTCATTTTTTCCTATTTGATGTGTGTGCGTACTTTCAAAATCCTTTTTAAAGCATATTAAAGGAAGATAAAGAGTGGGGTGAGTTTCACAATTTGGTATGTTTGGTATGGAACTTAATAAATATTGCTTTTACTTTATAGGAATGATTCTAGACTTCTGTTTTCAAATACTCTGATAACTAAGGAGGACATTCAATGATCCCAAGATGAAATTACAACTTATGTACTAAAACAGCAGTTGTCAATAACATCCTGTCATTTTTGTGGGTTTTTCTTTAGTGGATAATACTTCTGAGATTACAAACAATGAAATCTTGAAAGAGACATCACTGACCAGATGACATTTCAGCGATCTGATGCAGGATTTCAAATGTAAAAATTCTCAATACGTTCAGATATTTTCTTTTTTATATAGGAATGGATGCCCAGGCTATAAGAATAATTAAATCCTGATATCAAATGTATGAATGTTTAATCATTTATATTTCCCCCATTTGCTATTTTCCCAAAAGTGCCATTATCTCTACAAAGATGTATATATATATCTTGAGATTTAAGCATAAAATCAATGGGAATTATCAGTGCACTCAAGCGCTGAATGCAAGGTCTGGTGTGTATAGCAAAGAGAAAGGAGAATTGAAAACTATTGATTATTCCTTTTAATGGGTGATATTTGATGTTCTGTCATTCTTCAAATCCTCTGCCTTTCATGTCTGGCCATTCTAGCTAATTCTACTTAAGAGGAAGAAAAGCTTTTCAATGAGAGATTAATCTTTCATTGTCACTAATTGTGGGCATATCTAATACCAACTCATTTTTATGGGTGCTGGTAATTGACAAGTTGCCTAGTAGTGCATAAGAACTACTGCTCTAAAATGACATCAGTGAGAAAGAAAGAGGGGATTATCTCCTTAAAGAAATTAGAGGCAAATCAACGAAATATGTTTTCCAAACAAATATTTAAAATAATGCTCTTTAAGTAGGTTGAAAAGCTACAGGAGTCAATGAAAACAAATGCAAATATTGCGTCAATCAATTATTGGATAAACATCAAACCCACCAAAAGAGATTTTATCTCTTGTGGGTAGTTCCCCAGACAGGGAATTGTTAGATTACAAATCCCATAGATTCTACTTCAAAATGCTGGCTAGGAATTATGGAAGTAAAAGCCTAAAAGACTAGAAGGGACTAGCCTCAGGAAAAATCTTATGGAAGATACATGGACATGGACACACAGTTCACACATACATACCCAAAGCCTTATGGCAGAGGTGTCAAACTCAATTTCATTGAGGGCCACATCCGGGTTGTGATTGACCTTGGAGTGGAGGTGGGGGGCATGGCCAGGGTGAGCATGGCCAGCTCAATATCACTCATGTCGGAGGCACATGTGGTGGCCCAAGTGCTATGGCAGCAAAAACGGGCTCCCAAGCTCCATTTTCACCTGCGATGGCTTCCTGCAACCCGCTGGCAACGAAAACAGAGCTTGGGAAGGCCGCCTGCACGAAAACAGAGGCACCACGCTCTGGTTCTTCACTGTTTCCAGGATGGTCCTGCAGGCCAGATCTAAGCACCCTGTGGGCTGGATCTCCCCCCCCCCGGGCTTTGAGTTTGACACACCCCTGTCTTATGACCTTGCAAGAAGATGTTTATTTACTCCCATGAGATTTTGAAACTCATTTGGAATCTTGCAAGTGTTTTTAAAAAAAAAAAAAAAAAAAACATGAATGGACCATCACATGAACATGTACAATGGTGTCTTTAGGGAAGAAAAGATTCCAGATCCAGACAGAATCACCAGATATTCTATTTGAAAAATGATGTTACGGGTGCAATGAATTTGAGAACAAGAGTAGGGTTGAGGGAGGAAACCCAAATTCCTGAAATTCAGTTGTTCCCCCTCCCATCCCGTCCCCCAATTTTGTGACCTGGTCCAAAATAATTTCCGATTTTCCAGCAAGCTTGGAAACCTACACTGGACAGACAGAACCAAATTGCTGGGTAAGCTCGTCTTAAAGCCAATCATTCCTAGCTGTTAAAATTCATTTCTTCACATTTTTAAAAAAAGTTTAAGTTTGTTTAAGTATTTTCCAGCAAGGGATAAAGGGAGTATAGTTCTTCATTAAAGGCTTAGAAAGAAACTGAATGTTCTTGTAAGTTCTTTAAAGCTTTGGAATGACAAAAACGCTAAAGCCTGTTATGTATAATTTCATTAACCAGTTGAAAAAAAACCCCACAATATACCAGTAACTTCCAAGCAATTGAAAACAAGACATTTTAAATGTAGATATTAAAAAGTACATGAATGAAATCATTTTTTTTCTTTTAGCATGTACTTATTTTTGTTTACATAGTATCAGTTGGAAAAAGTAAAGTAACTGTAGCAGCGGTGGGTTTCACATTTTGTTACCACTGGTTTCCCGCACGCGCTCCTTCCCCGCAAGCTCCCGGCCTTCTGTGCATGCGCTTTGCTCACATGTCATCTTCTACGCATGTGCCTGGCCTCAATAGGCAAAGAGTCAGGCTGGATGGGCAGGCCAACCTGCAATATCCACTACCGGTTCGGGAGAACCACTCCAAACCGGCTGAATACCATCTCTGATTTGTAGGTACACACGTAGGAGTGTTTATATGATCCTTCAACTGGATTGCTATCCAAGGTGAAACATTTCTGGAGAAAAGGTTGGGTCCTAAAGAGACCCACTCAGCAGGCTGAGCTTTTGAATGGAATGTCAATCATGTACAAGAAATGAATTCTATGGCTCATATAACTTGGCATGTCAATTACCTCAGAGGAAGAAGGTCAAGTTGCCTCAGCAGAATGAAATTACTGCTGTCACAAAGGGTCCGTTTGTGTGATATCCATGGATTTAAGCCAAGAATGAATCTGGCTTTACAGAACACCTATCTGTTGATGTTTTTTTTTTTTAAAGAAAGGGTTTATGCCTTGGAGATAAATTGGTGATACCAAGCATCACATTTTCTCTTAATTTGTAGTGATGGAAAATCCTCTCTCTTTTTCTCTCCGTCTTTCATAATTGCTGGATTGCACCCTGCAAGCCTACATAAGCAATCTCACCTTCCTGTAGGCACACATTCACACAGAAGTAATTTGTAAATAGAGAGTCCATAGGTGCGATGAGTAAATTTTCTATAGTGGTGACCTACTGTTTCCAGAGAATCATTTGGCGCTTCTCTTCTTCGTGTATTATTATGCTGTAGACCATTATAGTCCATCTCTACAGCTACAAATAAAATATATGGAAGTAGTTAGGTAATGTGCCTGATTAAAAACGTCACCTGCATTTGAAGAATGTGGCAGATCTCAGAATGAGCTGCTCCACAATTACCCAATACAGGCTATCACTAGCAGCAGGCTTAAATTAAACTCTTTTTTTAAAAAAAAAACCACAGCTACACATAAGAGGTTCTCATATTTTTCATCATGAGTTTTAATTTAGTTAGCAAAAGAACTTGTTGAAGGTGGAACGTTGGGGCTGAAGAAATGTTGCCATGAAACATAAGTGAATACTTTGATGTAGA